AAAATTGCAGTAATTTTAGCATCAAAGGAAGCATGCAAACATCTCAAAATTTTATTAATTTTTTCATAATTTATGAGTTCTCTTCCTAAAGCATGCAATGAGGTGACATTTTGAGTAAATATTGTATATATGTCAGAGATCAATTTATTAGGTTTCATATGAAAAAATTCGTAGTCATAGAACAAAATATTCATCCTTGATTGTTTAACTTCTTTGGTTCCTTCATAAGTGATACACAATTTATCCCAAATTTATTTACCAGTGGTACAAGTTAAAACACCATGTAATCTTTAGACTTTAAAGCACAAATAAAATAGTTCAAACACTTTGCATTAAATTGTGCTAAATTTCAATCATCACAAGCCATTTAGTAAAAGGAAGTGGAATAATAATGCCATTAAGTTTACCAGTCAGAGGTGTATAACCATCTTTAACAAGCATCTACATGCGATAATAAATCGATTGTAAAAATATAGACATGCGAGTTTTCCAAAAATCAAAAGGAATATTATCAAACAAAGGTGGTCGGGTAATATAATACCCTTCTGTAGTATTACGATTACTGGAGTTAGCCATTGATCAAAATTCAAAAGCTTTCAAAAACTCAATTTTATGAATCCCGCTTTGATACCACTTGAAAGTTCGTTAGGAATGTTAATCCCTCATGAACTAGCCCAAGACTAACCAAGAGGGGTGGGGTGAATTGGTATTTTAAAAACTTTTAATCAAAACCAAAAGCACAAATCAAACAAAAATTCACACAAAAAAAAGTGTGGAAATTAAATGCAGAAAAAGCAATAAATAAAGAACACATAAATTTATAGTGGATTGGTCAGCTTGACCTATGTCCACTCCCCAGAGGCACCCTCTAAGTATTGCACTAAACTCAGTGACTCTCCTTTTGCTACCACAGCAAGGCGGAGAAGCCTTTACAAAGCCTCCTGTCCACCGACACAAGTGAGGAAGCAGGTAGAGAACCTTGATCGATTGTTGAAGTGAACCTCTCTTGAACTTCTAAGAATAAGGGACGACGATTGGAGAAGAAGTCTTGGACCCTTGATTGGAGCAACCCTTGTGAAACCCCTCACAAACTCCCCCTCACAAGATCCTCTCTCTCTCCCTCTCCTCTATGCTCTCTCAGGTCAAGACACCAGCAAAAGATGATTTCTTAGGTATAGCAAGTGGTCATAAATAGAAGAGCTTCAGAAAAGCTCTTTATTTAAACAAACTAACTTTATCATCCAGGATGATATGGATATCATCCTAAACGATCAGCGTAAATTTAGCTCAATCAGCCTTGAAGGTTTGGGACAATTAGAAGGTTTTTTGTTCATATCATCCAAGCTGATAATATATTGGACTGTATGATTAGTACAAATTGAAGAATATCATCTAGACAATCGCATTGAATGGGTGTCTGGATGATGTAAAAATACCTTGATCATCTAGGCTGATCCCGCATCCCAGCCTATTAGTTTAAATATGTGAAAATCATCCAAGGCATCGCCTTGAATAGAAGATGTCTGATGTTTGATCGTCTAGGAGCAACAAAGGTTTTTAAACTAATCATACATAAATCTTTTTTCTCCATTGGTCCTATTAAAAGTTCAATTTTCATTTTAAAAAAAGCGACAATGCTAAAGTAAAGTTACAAATTTTTTTAGTAGAAATATGCTACGAGCATAAACAAGACACTAACACTGATGTCGAGGGAGTAAAGTGTCTAAAGCTATACCCTATATAATATAAATCCTATAAATTACTTCTAACATGAGTAGTGAATCATATCGACAATTCTTTCACTTAATATATATTTATTAAGTGAAGCAATAAATTCCTAAAATTCCTCTAGCTACTTTCAATGAAAGCCGTAAGTCTAGTCTTTAGGGGTAATAAGTAGAAAACAACTTAACTCTAGACCCCTTAAATGGGCATCTTAGCCTATATGACTAAGTTGTAAGACCCAGCATTTAGGCTACTTCTAAGTGAAACAGTAAGACCCGCATGTTAGGGAACTTCTAAACGAACGACCCTATAACCAAAACTCAAATCCCTTTGGACATCTTAGCCTATAGGACTACGTCGTAAGACTTGTAATTTGGACTACTTCTAAGCGAAGCAGTAGTACCTTTTGGTGAAGCATCACTAAAAACTTATAATCTACTAGTAGCTGAAGGAATTTTTAGAATCAGAACATAAATCAAATGATCCTTCATCATCTAAAAACTCTCCTTACACTATGGAGTTTATACAAAACCTACTTACTTCTGAGTTAGTCTTGTCATTGGCGAAGAAATTCAAGAAAACCCTAAGCAAACTTTCAATAATAACTAGTCAAGCCTATGAAACTACAAATCTCAAAAATTTTCATCAATCTCGACCATCAAAAATAACATGAACCTTCTGAGGATTTATTACAATACCTACACTACTCACTACATGCCCCGGAAGGAAAATGCCAATTAACCAGAATTCAAATTTTGAAAACTTAGCATATAACGGATGCTACCACAGAATAAATCAAAATGTCATATATAAATATTATCACAAAATTGCCCAAATATTTCCTAAAAAACTATGTTCATCAAATTTATAAACACCACTAGTTATCAATTTAAATGGCATGACCAAAAACTCACAATGCTTGTATCTAGTACTAAATGAAGCCTTCACTACAGACTCCTCTCTCACCTTTAATTAATGATAATCAGATCGTAGATCAATCTTAGAAAATATTGAACATCCAACCAGCTAATCAAACAAGTCACCAACCTTAGACAAAAAATGCTTATTTTTCATAGTGACTTTACTCAACTCATTGTATCCAATGTTAATGAACATCAAATCATCCTTTTTCTTCATAAAAAAATAGGTGATCCCTACAGAGACACTCTAGGTTGGAAGAAACCTCTATCAGGTAACTTCTAAAGCTGAACCATCAATTCTTGAAGCTCCTTAGGTGCCTCCTATACAGAGCTTTCAAATTTCGGGTTATACCCAAAAAAAATCTACAAAGCTCTGCCTCTCTATCTATTGATAAAATAACTAACTCCTCATGGAAGACATCTAAACATTCCTAAACTATATAAACATTACTTATAGATGCATTAGAGATGTGAGGATCTCTAATAGATGCCAAAACAATTAAACTACCTTTTCTCCAAAGTCTATCCACTTCTTGAGTAGAACTCAGACAAGATAAAAAACCTCTTACTTCTTGAAATATATTGCTCTTATAGGCCAAAAATAAGGTGATGCAATTTTTTAAATAATCAATATGATCCTCATACTGACTTAACCAAATTATACCCAAAATAATATATACCGCAAAAATTCACTGGAACTTCACTTCCTATTATAAATCTCAATGTTGTAGAAGTAGAATCTACTGGCTATTAAACCATATCCAGTCAATAAAGTGATAAACTGAGAAAAGGGTAATAAAACTGAAGGCAAGTGCAATAAAAAAACTTGGGAATAAATGAATGATTAGCTATAGAATTAATTAAAATATGATATGGTTAATTAGAATTGAAAGTCATAACTATAAGTGGAGCATCTCGAGCCTCTTACTAAGTCAAACTATAAATTCGTAGTTGAATATGGATCAAAGAAACAAAACTACCAGCACCCTGCGAACCTCTAAAATGCTAACCTCATGATCTCAGACCAACATCCTGGCTACCATAAGTCTCAAAATATGGTTAAGGTGGTATTGCCCTCAACTTACCCACGGTTGGCTGTCCAGAGCTATCAGCTCTCAAATCAAAATATATATCAAAGCCTCCCTATGAACACTTAGAAATACTATGTTCAAACTAACCGCAAAAAAGAACACTTACTTAATGCTCTATAACACTAACCACTGTGCTTTCTGCCACACTACCAACATAATGGGGCCTCATTGATTTAAAAATCAGAACTAAAAATACTGCCTCTATTTGATATAGAAGAAAATGTTACTAACTGCCCCCTCCTTCCAAACATAATATGTACCTACTCTTTTCACCTGAATGACTATTACTAGCCATCTCACTACCAAACATCTTCCTACTCGCAGACCATTACTATTGAACTGCTTTCAAATAAATTTTTATTCTCTTGGCCCTCTCAATCAACTAAGCAAAGTCAATATTATCCTATGCCAGTAATGGCTACCTCAAATCTTAGAGTTCCTCCTGAAATCTTTAACAGTTCTCATTAAAACTACTAACCAACTTTGGAACATACTAGACCAAGTAATAAACTCTATCTCGTACTACATCAATGACATATTTTTTTGAATCAACTTCAAAAAAAGAGCTTTGTATCTTTTTCTTAGTAGATAGAGATACAAACCAAGTCCTGAATGTCTATGTAAACTCTTCCCAGGTAATTAAGGTATTTGCATGACTCTAGAACTTCTATCTGTGCTAGACCAATCACCAACATTCTACCTCCTCACCAACAAAAATGTAGCTATTGTAACTCTCCTCTTAGGATGATAATACATTTCATCTAGAGTAATCTCTATTCTCATCAACCAATCCTTAGTTGCTCTAGGCTCAATAGTACATGAAAGTTTAGGTCGATGTAATCTCATGAAATTCTATAAATATTTATCCATTTCATCAGAATTGGTACCAAAAACCTAGGTATGAGCCTTACCTACCAACTATACTACTATGCCTGCAATATGAGAAATCAGCTTAGAACTCATCATAGGAGTTATATCTTGAACTTGAGGTATGAGCTCTGCCCATTGGTTATATTTGGATCTAGTAGAGGTGGATTAACCATCATATGAATACTGAACAAAGTTGTTTAATTGCTTCTCTTGTTGGCAAGCCTTTTTTACTGGATGGAAATATGTTCTAATGGATTAGAAGTGAATTTGCTAGGATTTGTGTTCGTATCAAACTTGATGAACAAGTTCCTCTAGGAGTATGGGTGGAAGGTGAATCTAGAAAATTCTTTCAAAAAATTGAGTATGAAAAAGTTTCTAAACTTTTTGTTACAAGTGTGGCAAGATTGGTCACTTGCCAACATCTGAGAATGAAAACATCAAAGAAAGTTCCAAAAATGTTGCTAAGGATGTGGTTGCTACTAAATTTGTTGTCCAAAGGGCTGCTGGACAAACTGATTTGGCCAAGAAGATAACTGAAGACATGGGAAACCTTGAAGAGGCAGGGTATGGACCCTGGGTGCACGTTAGATATGGAAAGAAAAAAAGATTTCCATATAATGTTAACAAGGTTTCTGATAAACTGGTGAAAGAAGTCTAGAAGGCTGTTTCTACTGCTGTTCCTATTCAAATTTATGGCCAGAATTTAAATTTGGTAAAGTTTATTCATAACAAAATAGACAAATATTTTGTTGATAATCAAAGGACACTCTATTCTGGACAGAAAGAAGATCTTGTTGCTGCTGATTCTATCAATTCTGGAACTATTAATGCTGCTGAAGAAAATAATATTGTTGTATTTAGCAATTCAGAGTTGGAAGAAGGTGAAATGCTGGCTAATTACTCCGGGTTTGATAAGAATATTCCATCTAGTAAGATCTCTTTTGCCCCTACACCCGTTATTGTTAACAATAATATGTTTGAAATTCTTAATAATGTTGATGAAGATGTGGAGAAGACTAAAAATGTTTTGAGAAATAACATAAACGATGAGGATGATTCTTCTTCGGAAATGAAGAATAAGAACATAGGAGCAGTCAATGCTAATATGGAGAATTCTACTATAAAGAGAAAATTGGAAAAAGAGCTCAAAACTCTTGGACCAATTAAGCTCATGACTAGAAACAGGAAATTGGAAATGGGAATTAAAGCCAAAAGGATTGGGGCTAGTCCCCCTCCAAACCAATGAATACCATAGTGTTTTGAAATTGTAGAGGAGTAAGGAAGGCTCATGCTTCTCTATATCTCAAGGAATTGGTTAAAAAGAATAATGTGGTTTTTGTGGGCTTGTTAGAAACCAAAGTCTCTTCTATTAATAGAAAGGATATCAACGCTCTTATTGCGATGGATTGGAACTTCTTCCATTATCCATCATAAGGCTTGTCTGGAGGTATTTTGATTCTTTGGAATACAAGGTTTGCTTCTTTTAATACCTTGTTATCTTCTAATCAATGTATTATTGGTGATTTAGAAATCCATAATAATGGTAGTTGGAGGATTTCTACTGTTTATGCTCATAAAAACACCTACAAGAGAAGGGAACTATGGAATCAATTGGAGAATTATTTGCTTGTTAATAGTCCTTCTGTAGTGGGTGGTGATTTCAATTGCCTTCTTGCTAAATGTGATAAAACGGGAAGAAGAAAATTTGATTTTTCACAAGGTCCTAAGGAAATGAAATCCTTTTGTTACAAACCTTGATTATCAGAAATCAAATTTTATTGGTCCAAGTTTTACTTGGTGTAATAACAAAACAGGTGGAGCATGGATCTTAGAAAGACTTGACAGGTGTTTTTGTTAATTCTTTAGCCCTTGATTCCAATCCATTATTGTTGGTTCATAATCTTCCTCGTATTACTTCTGATCATTGCCCCATTATGATGAAATTATGGGAAGATTATCCTAAATCAAAAAGCTACATCAAATTTGAAGACACTTGGGCTTCTCACTATGCCTCAGCTATAATTGTTGAAAAGGCATGGAATAGGAAAATTGCTAGTCAGCATTTAGATGTTCTGGAGATCAAGTTCAAAACGGCCTTGAAAGCACTTTTTTTTTTTGGAGCAAAGCAAAACTAAAGGATCTCAATCTGTTGAAGAAAAAGCTTATCAAAGAAATTTATGATCTTCAAATGGAGGAGTCTTAGAATGGCAGCTTATCCGAAGAAAATGTATTACTTCTTAGATCCAAAATTAATGATTTGAATTGCACTTTAGCCTGGCTTAATTCTTAGTGGAGACAAAGAGTGAAGGCTAGATGGTTAAAGGAGGGAGACTTTAATTCAAAGTTTTTTCATTCCTTTGCAAATGCAAGAAGAAATGCAAATTACATTTTTAAAATTAAAAATGAAAATGGTGATTTGGTGGAAGATCAAGCTTTTATTGAGAGTATTTTTTACAAATACTTTCAAAACAAATGGAATTTCAAAAATTGTTCTCTGGATGGTTGCCCAGAACCAAAAGCAGTGTTATCGAAATCTGACAGAGATTTCTTGAATTCTGATCTTAAGCTGGAAGAAGTGCAAATTGCTATTAGCCAAATGGAAGGAGGTGTATCTCCGGGAGTGGACGGTATTACTCACTCTTTTCAAAAGTTTTACTGGCACATCATTAATATAGATGTTTGGAATGCTTTGAAAAGTTTTTTCTCCATGGGAAAAATGGAAACTAGTTGAATGGATACTTTGATTATTCTCATTCCTAAAGTTAATTTGCCTATATTTCCTTCTAATTTCAGGCCTATAAGTTTGTGCAAGACTATGTATAAACTTGTGGCTAAAATTCTTCTGAATAGATTTGTTAATCTTCTTCCAAAACTTATATCTGAAAATCAAGCACCTTTTAATAAAGGACGGTCCTTATCTGATAATGTTTTAATTGCAAAAGAAGTCTTCCACAAATTTAGATTTTCTAAATCCTCTAAAGGATTAATTTCCTTCAAAATTGATATGGAACAAGCTTATGATAGCATGTCTTGGGAAACTTTGGAGCAAATTTTGAGTTATTTTGGTTTCCCTTTACATTTTTCAAAGCTTATTTTGGAATGTGTAAAATATCCAAGGTTCTCTATATTGATCAATGGAAAATCTTCTCAATGGATAGGTGCTAAAAATGGCTTTCGCCAAGGTTTTCCCTTATCTCCTTTTCTCTTTGTATTTTGCTCTCAACTTTTATCTAATGCTCTAATTCAAGAAGAGAGGGATATAGGAATCAAAATTTCATCATAATGCTCCTAGGATATCTCATCTGCTTTATGCTGACGATATCTTGATATTTTCTGAAGCTAATATGAAGATGGTAAAGAAGATTAAGAGAATTTTATTGAAGTATTGTAGTGGTTGGGACAAAAAATCAATTACAATAAATCTTCCATTTTTTTTTTGGAAAAACTATTAGTTCAAGAAGGAAGAAGAAGATTGCTCGGGTAATGGGATTCATGATTGTGAAAGAATTCTATTACTTAGGAATTAAAATAGCCTTGAGAAGATTGATGGCTTCAGATTTCAATTTCCTAGTTGAGAAAGTGTTCGGTAAGATGGACACTTGGGGAAGCAAATTTATATCTCTTGCAGGGAGATTCACTCTTGTTAAATCAACAATTCTTTCGATTCTTGTATTTACTTGCACACATTCTTTGGTTCCGGCTGGAATCCTAACTTAAATTGACAAAGCTTGTAGGGAATTTATATGGCACAAGGAGAAGAATGAAGCAGGTTTGCATTTTGTGAGTTGGGAAAATTTATGTAAACCTTTACACTTAGGAGACCGTGGCCTTCTCTCTATTGTTCAAAGAGTGGACACTCCAAGAGCAAAATTTTTTTGGAAATATGTAAATGAAGATGACTCTTTGTTGCATAAATACTTGAAGACGAAATATGGTAATTCCTACTGGAATACTGATTGCAAACAAAATAGTTCAAACACATGGAATATTATTAGAAGTGGTGCAAGGGCTCTTAAACTGATTATCAAGTGGAAAATCTGCAATGGAGTTAATGTTAATGTCATGAATGATGTTTGGTTATTAGACAAAGCTTTTTGTAATTGGCCTACTTTTATTGATAATCTTCAAATTAATGAGTCCTGTGTTTGATTATTTTATGATAGAAGGAGAATGGGACACAGAGAAACTGCCTAAATTCTTTGGGAACGATTTGGTTTAGCTTATTTGTAATGTTAAAATTGAGAAGGATGGTGTTAAAGACCAAATGGAGCTAATTTTATAGAATTCTGGGAGAACTTTGGCGGCACTTTCTTTTGAAGCTTAGATCAACATATCTAATGGGGAGAATTACTGAAATTGGATTAAGAAAATCTATCTTAATCCAAAAACTAAAGCTTTCTGGTGGAGGATTTATCATAAATCCATTCCAACTTTTCAATTTTTGGAATATCGAAGACTCAAAGATGGATGCTTATGTCCGAGAGGTTGTTTGGATATTCAAGACATTAAGCATGTGGCGGTAAGCTGTGTTAAATTGATCCATGTTATAAAAATTCTGAATCATTGGGGATTTCAAATTCTGATTTTCAATTGTTATGCAGAGCTAATTTCTTGGTTGGAGTTCAACGCTACCAAAAAATTTTTTGTCACTAATGTTTATTGTACATTGGTGTTTCTTTGTTGGAAGTCAAGAAATAAACTCATTCATGAAGGATAGGAAGATAGAAATGTATATATTGCTTCCAATGCTCTTAGTATAACTTCTATTTCTATTTTTAATATAAATAAATCAGGCCTTTGGGGTGTTAATCAACCATCTCGGTTGTTTAATAAATCTTGGCATCCTCCTCCACCCGATTGGATCAAAATAAATGTTGATGCTTCTTTACTTACTTCTTACACGGCCGGTATGGGAGCAGTTGGCCGTGACCACAAGGGAATATTTCTTTTTGCTTTTGGAAGGAAAGGTATTCATTTGGATATTCCTTAACTTGAATTGGAATCTATTCTTTCTATTCATGATACTATTATGGATTGTATCACTCAATACAAGGGCATTATTTTTGAAGGAGATAATGAAAATGTGATGAAATGTTTTCAAAGCTATAACAATAAGAAGTCATGGAAAAATTCGAAGATGGATGTAAGATTTTCTTCCCCACTTAATTATTTCAACTTTGTTATTTTCAAATATGTTAGTAGGGAAAGCAATGAGTTAGCATCCATGTGTGCTAACTTTACTCTAAATGGAGATTTTGATTGGGACTACCTTACTTTGGATCACATTCCTCCTTCCTTTTTCTTTTATTAAAGGAAGAATGTGATGCTATTAGCTTGTATTAGCTTATTTCTTTTTTAATGCTATTTCTTTCTGCATCTTTCAAAAAAAAAAAATAATTATTATTGAAGAAAGAATTAACTTTGACTGAAGCAGTAGAGGTAGAATTCAAGATGGAGTCAATAGAGTCTCTACCTAACAATCTATCTTGCCAAAAGAAGATATTACCTTCACCAAGCCCCCAAGAAATAAAGGGCTCCACCTCCCATTTAACCTTGCACAGCCTTTTCCAAACTTTAGAATCACCTGGCTTAGGAAAAATATTAGTTAGATTTTTACCAACACAATACTTAGATATCATAAAATTAGCCCAAAGTTTATCTTTAGTGTGTAAGTTATACCAAAGTTTAAAAGAAAAAGCCTTAGCAAGATCATTTAAATTTTTACAGCCAAGACCACCTTCAGCCAAAATACCACAACACTTATCCCAAGTGGCCCAAATAATTTTAGAACTAGAAGAAGTGCCTTTCCAAATGAATTTGTTAATAAGCTTGTGAACCCTAATGTAAACAGTGCGAGTCAAAAAAATAGTTTGAAAACTATAAACCAATAATACACAAAGAACACTTTTGATCAGAGTAACTCTACTACCAAAGCTAAGAAAATTGGAATCCCAATATAAGAGCTTATTCTGAATAGAAGAAATAAGATCATCAAACCAAAAAATTTTCCTCCTACCCTTAAAAAGTGGAACACCAAGATATTTGATAGGTAAGTGAGAATGGGTAAAACTAGTAACATCTTTAATAACTAAAATACGTTCATTTGAAATCCTCTTAGAAGCATTAAAGAAACTTTTATTTTTGCTAAACGAAAGACTACTCACCATCTAAAATTGATGAAAGAACTCCATAATTTTATGAACTCTATTAATAGTCGCATTAGTAAAAATAATAAAATCATCCGCA